CGGTATCCAGTGACATCCCTGTTAGGTCTCCTTCCTGCTAAGGCTTTTGTGAATTAACTGAATCTTAACCACACTCCCATGAGGTCAAAGTGACCACTGACCCCTTTTACAGAAACCAGAGCACAGAGAGGTCAAGTTCCTTTCCCGAGGTTACACAGCACTTTGGTTACTAAATCAGATAATGAATCTAGAGCAGCTTTTTGGAAAGGGAGTGTCAGAGAAGAGCCACTGGGGGCCTCAGAGACCTGGGTTTGAATCCCTGTCCGATCACTGGCCCACCACACAACCTTGGGCAAAGCCCTTGTGAGTGTCAGCTGCTTCATTTGGAAAAGGGGCGAAAATGATTCCTACACCTTGATCTCTCCTCTCTGGGGTTGCTTCCCTGCGAAAACTTACAACCCACCCTTTATTTTAATTACTGGTGAAAGCATTTGACCCTCAGCAGGTCATGTACGGCCTGGGAGCCTCAGCTCCGATGTGAAGTGCAGTTAATGGGGTTGCTTTGCAGAAAATGCCAGCAGTTAAGGGAGACAACTGCCATCCCAGGCATGGCTGTGTCATCGGCACCTCCCCTGAGCCCACTCTGTTCTCAGACTCACCCTTAATCTTCAGGATGGAAAGGGCAACAAATGTTTCCAGATACCAGCTCTTATTTCCTCTAGGTGCTGGCTAGGGTTGGTGGAGATCAAGTTCAGAACCAGAGAATCCTGGGAGGGAGCAAGGCTGAAACCAACCTTAAAAAGGGCTCATATTTCAGGGCTGCGCAAGCCCTTGCTCAAAGTGTGATCCACAAGTTTCAAATGGGGACAAGGTGACTGGAAACCACTACCCCAAGGCCATCAACTCCTGATTATTCTCACGATATGCCTGCCTGGACCTCCTCTCCCATACCTCTCACCTCACCTGTGGTTTGCTTCCCTGCAACTTGCAGGACCTGGCCTCCATGCTGCCCTCCAGAGGAGGAAGCTTAGGTCAGCTAAACATCAACTGGGTGCCAGGTCCCTGTGGGGCTGGTTGGGCCTTTGTCCAATACCATCTCCCCACCTGACTTCCAGGTGGAGGTGACAGTGCCAACTTAGCAGATGAGAAAACTGAGCCTATGGTGGATAATAGTCCTTGGCGGAAGGACCCGGGGCTGGGTTTGATTCCTTTTTTTAAAAAAACATAAGAAATGGCCAGTAATGGCCACAGGACCTTCAGCAAATAACACAAGCTCCCCACTTCAGTTTCCTGGCTATCTCCTAAGGCTGAAGGGAGCACTGATGAATTAGAAGTGAAGCGTTTACAATGGCTTAGTCCACAGTAAGCACTCATGGAAGGATGGTGATGACAAATTGTTCTTCTCTGGGCCTGTTTCTCTGTCTGTAAATAGCGCTTCATGGACAAAGACCAACTATGGGTGTGGCTTGCCACACCAAGAGGGTGATATCTATGCCAAGGCACCCCCCCAGTGCCCACCTGCCAGGCCCTGGGAGGGGGAGGTAACAACTCCTGGAAGGTCCCACAGTGCCTTCAGGGACAGAGCCAATTAAGGCAAAGGTCGGGCACTGGCCCAGCCCAGGGCTGCCTCTCTAGCTTCTGCTCATTCTTTAGCAGGCTGGCGCCGGCCAACCTACCTACCGCCTTCCAACAAAGGCAGGCAAAGCGCCTTGGCAATTAAGCGACGGACACCCCCACCACGGGCATTCATGTGAGCCCAGCTAGGGTGCCCAGGATCTTGGCTCTTCCGCTTTCGCCTGGCTGGCCCTGGGCAGAACACTGCCTCTCGGCCCTCTAGTCTCCTCTACCTCTTGGGGATCCCAGGAATCATCTGTGAGCCAGACCGGGGCACAGCGTCCAGGCCTAATCGCCTGAGGCCAGAAAGCCTTTTGCCCAAGGTTAGGTTAACAACTTTGGAAAAAGATGAGGGGCGTGGAGGCAGGTCGAGCTGTGGTCTCACCCCACTGCAGCCCCTCGAATGCACGTGAGTCTATTTCCTATCTGGAAAATGGGGTTCATAGTCCAGCCTCTCAGAGATGTATGTTCACAACAGAAGAGATCTGTGTTCCTTTCCATGAGCCCGAGCCCATCCCTGGCTGGAGGGAGACATCCTGAACATAGCAGTGACAACGACCAAGCCTGGCTGGAGTCAGAGTGGGGTCATTCACCTCCCAAGGCTCAGAGAAGTTGGGCCACTTCACCGAAAGCCCACAGCAGCAGAGGCTCGGCCTGAACATGCTCCCACCATCCTTGCGGCCGCTTCCCCCTCAGCCCAGGTCTTGTTGTCATCGAGGACAGCAAATGCTGCTTAGGAGAAAGCCGGGCACAGTGGCTCACATCTGTAACCCCAGCACTTTGAGAGGCTGAGGTAGGTGGATCTCGAACTCCTGAGGTCAGGAGTTTGAGACCAGCCTGACCAACGGGGCAAAATCCCATTTCTACTAAAAACACCAAAATTAGCTGGGTGTGTGGCACCTGCCTGTAGTCCCAGCTACTCGTGAGGCTGAGGCAGGAGAATTGCTTGAACCCGGGAGGGGGGAGGTTGCAGTGAACCAAGATGATGGCACTGCACTCCAATCTGGGTGACAAGACGAGACTCTAACTCAAAAAAAAATAAAAGGGAAGGGGACAGGGAAGAGGTTGGGGGAATGTACCAGACATCCCCTGAGCTGGCCCTTGCTAGGGGCTGTGGCCCTCCAGTGTGGCATACCTAGCCTGAGCTAGGGGAAGGGCCGATGAGGAGGCTGAGGCTCACAGAGGGGAGGTGATATGCCTGAAGTGGCTGAGGGGGGATGGAAAGCCAGCCGCCAACCCCAGGGAAATGTGAGCTCTTTGGTGAGGGGCCACCACCCAGCATGAGGCTGTCCAAACATGCTAGCTCCATCTACTGAAGACACCCATTTCCTTGGGCTAAGGTGGGAGGGACTGATAAGGCAGAACCACCCCTTCCTGAAGAAGCCTGCAGCTTGGCCTCAGCCCAGGAGAGGATGCTGGGGCCACCTGGCAGGGACCTCGAGTGCTTGTCAGTTTATTCAGGTGAATATTCAAAAACACTGACGGGAAGCTAAAGGCACAGCAAGGGAGGACAGGGCCCTGCCTGCAGGGAGCTGGCGATAGTGGGGGCAGGACAAACAGGAGAGTTCACAAACAAGGTGACCTCAGATGGGGCCCAGCATCAGAGCCAGAGCAGGGATGATGAGATGGGAGTCTCTCCCGGAGCAGACAACGGGAGCTGAAACCTGGTGCTGGGAGGAGCCGGCCACGGTGAGAGCCACGGGAAAGGTGCTCTCGGCAGAGGGCACAGCTTTTCACACAGGGCTTGTGCAAAGGCCCTGGGGTGGGGGAGCAGGGAGTGAGGGCAGTGGAGAGGAAAGGGTGGGAGATGGGCAGGGCCTGGGCCATGCTGGGCCTGCAGGGCATGAAGCATGGTGGGTTTTTCTGTTTTCTGATATAGGTTCTCGCTCTGTCGCCCAGGCTAGAGTGCAGTGGTGCCATCCTAGCTCACTGCAGCCTTGAACTCCTGGGCTCAAGTGATCTTCCTGCCTTAGCCCAGGCTGCTGGGACCACAGGCAGGTTTGGTTTTGTGTGGAGGGTAAAGGGGAGATTGAGAGCAAGGCTAGAGCAGGAATGACAGGGCCAGCACTGCGGGCTTTCCTGGAAATAGCCGAGGAGCACCTACCCTGCCACATGATAGATGAGCAAATGCTTGAGAACTGCCCAAGGTCACACGGGCCCAGAAGTCAAGTCAGGACAGTCTGGGGCAGATTCAAGATCTTTCTCCCACATCCTGGGAGTCTCCAGAGAGGAGGGACAGGGCGGAGTGACTGGGTCAGAGGTTTGGTCCTGCCCTGCTCAGCTGGCAGAGCCCTTCCCTGCTGAGGTCAGGAAAGATGGGGACACCATGGGGAGGCACAGCCAGGGTGACTCTCCTTAGCTATTTGCATCAGCTGGATTCTGCAGAGGCTGGGGGCCTGCTGGGAAAGGCCATCCTGGGGCTTGGGGAGGCACGTGACAAGCAGGGACCAGGGGCCAGAAGGACAAAGGCCCTCGAGGTGGGGGCAGGAGGGCTAGGGAGCACACCAGGGGTCCTGAGGCTGCCCTGACCCCCATCAGGCCACAAGGGATGCACAAGCCACCTAGTGACCACAGTGTGACCTGAATGTGACTTCAGAATAGAAGAGCTGGGGTGTGCAGGGCCACAGCTGCCTGGGCACCCCCAGAATACTTGGGGTGGGATGGTCACTGAGGGCAGCAACAATGATGTCTATCTTTTTTTTTTTTTTTGAGATGGAGTCTTGCTGTTGCCCAGGCTGGAGTGCAGTGGCGTGATCTCAGCTCACTGCAGCCTCTGCTGCCCAGGTTCAAGCGATTCTCCTGTCTGTCTCCCAAGTAGCTGGGATTACAGGCATGTGCCACCACACTCAGCTAATTTTTGTATTTTTTTTTTTTTAGTAGAGACGAGGTTTCACCATGTTGGCAAGGCTAGTCTCGAACTTATGACCTCAAGTGACCCACCCACCTCAGCCTCCCAAAGTGCTGGGATTTCAGGCGTGAGCCACCACACCCAGCCGACATCTATCTTATATAGATGGCGAAATCAAGGCTCAGAGGCAACAGGCTGGCTACCTAGGAGACAACTGGGCATGCCCCATGTGCTCAGCCTGACCCAACACCTCCCAGAGGGAGATCTAGCCCTGCCCATTCCCACTTTCGGAGGAGCATATTGAGGCTGGGAGAGGTTCCATCACTAGCTGAAGGCCTCAGAGCTGAGTGGGGATGAACGTGGAGCCTTCCGGTCCTGCAGGGGGCGCACGTCACAAACAGTGATCCTGACCATGGCCTCAGTGCCTGCCTGTCTGAGGGTGACAGTGGATCACATATCCTGGGCTGTTCTCAAAACCCCTTTGCTGTCCTCAGTGAGTCCATGGCCCTCCACCCAAATTTTGCCCTCCCCCACACACTGAGGCCACTGGCTGTGGTCCCCCATACCCAGCCGAGCTATGGAAGAGACCCCTTCACTATTCACTCCATGATCTTTTATTATCGGGTACCCTGGCTGGCCCAGGACCCAGAGAGACAAGCTGAGGTCAAGCAGGGCACGGCATCAGAGACCCATTTTACAGGTGAGAAAAACAAGGAGCAGAGGCCTGCAGGAACCTGCAGTAGGCAGCGTGCACCAGGGAGCCCAACCCTGCTGGAATTGTCTGCCCTGCCCTGAGCCTGGCCCATAGCGGCTGCCACATTTCAGACAGGGCAGTGAGTGATGGGACGTGCCCTTTGCCCATTCTGGTAGGGCATGGGGCTGGGGGAAGGAGCAGGACAGTGATGTCTGTGCGGCTAGCTGAGGGACAAGGCCGGGACCCAGGAGTGGCTGGGATGTGGGGGCTGCTTTCTTCTGTGTAGAATGCCCCCACAAGGCTCCCCACTCTGCTGACTCTTTACTGGGCCTGTCGGAAAACACTTCTCACTGTGAAGGGGACAGAACTAATGGGGGACAGTGGAGGACATGGATCTACCCCTATTCCTGAGTCACAGCCCAGACTGAGCCTGGGGTCATGGCGCCAGGTGGCCCCTCTGGCCAGTCCACAGTTCTTGGAACTCAACATGGCAACCCAGGTCCCGCAGGGCAGCCTTGGCCACATCCTCACAGCTGCTGTGGTTCGACTGGGCCTTTGTAATGAGTGCCTCAGCCCCCAGGTCCAGGATGGGCTTCGAGAAGGCCCGGCTGCGGGACACCAGGTTTCGGATCAGCATACAAGCCTGTTTCTGGAGAAGAGAGCAGCTGTGAGCTGCCAGATGCAGCTTTGGGGTGGGGTCCACTCTGACCTCAGGGTCCTCATAACAAGATGGGGGTGATCATGACAACAGCAGACATCCAGCAGCTGCCTATACTATATCAAGTTAGATCCATCTCTTCACTTTACCCTCTTGGTGGCCCCTGGAGGTGAGGCTAATGCCCCCAACTCCCAGGCAAGGAAACAGGATCAGGGTAGCTCTGGGATCGATCCTCTGGGTGTGGAACTCCCAGCCTCAGAGTTGGTCTGACATTCCCTGAGGCTGGCACAGAGCCAAGAAGGGGCCCTAGGGCAAGGGGGGCAGGGAGGCCACAAGAAGAGAGTGGTTGTTCACAGGCACCTGTCAACTACGTCCCTACCCGTTCAGTGGACATTTGTGCCCTGTGCACCTGCTGTGGGTGGGTGTGGGGCGCTGCCTGGAAGCGTCCCAGGGTGGTTCCCACCACTATCGGGAAAGCAGATGGGAAGTACATGTGGAGTGGGGAGCTGCTGGCCAGGGTGGCCAAAAGTGGACAAAGGGACAGGCCAGCCAAGGGACGGTGTCCCAGAGTAAGAGCCAGCGAGAACAAAGGCCCCCTGTGGGTCCCAGCCTGGTGCATCTAAGGACTCTACGCTGGAAGTGGGGTGGCAAGGATGGCCCCAGGGGCTGCAAGAGGAGTCTGGGTTCAGCCAGGGAAGTGTGGACAGGGGGTCCCACACCCAGAACTCAGACCAGCAGCCCAAGGAGGGGCCAGAACCTTTCTGAAATCCCTATCTGCACTTCCCCACCTCCTCCCCAACAGATCTCTCTACAGGGGCTAAGGAAGGAGACTGGCTGGGTGCGGTGGCTCATGCCTGTAATCCCAGCACTTTGGGGTTGGGTCATGACATCGAGGGTTTGAGACTAGCCTGGCCAACATGGGACCCCATCTCTACTGGGAATATAAAAATTAGCCGGGCATGGTGATGTGTGTCTGTAATGCCAGCTACTCAGGAGGCTGAGGCAGGAGAATCATTTGAACCCGGGAGGCAGAGGTTGCAGTGAGCCAAGATTGTGCTACTGCACTCCAGCCTGGGGAACAGAGCAAGACTGCTTCTTGAAAAAAAAACAGGAGATTAAGGGCAAGGTGGCTCACACCTGTAATCCCAGCACTTAGGGAAGCAGAGGTGGGTGGATCACCTAAGGTCAGGAGTTCGAGACCAGCCTGGACAACATGGCAAAACCTCATCTCTACTAAAAATACAAAAATTAGCCAGGCGTGGTGGCACATGCCTGTGATCCCAGCTACTCCAGAGACTGAGACAGGAGAATCGCTTGAACTAGGGAGGTGGAGATTGCGGTGAGCCGAGATGGCACCACTGCACTCCAGCCTGGGCGACAGAGTAAGACCGTTCAAAGAAAAGAAAGGAGATTAAGTGTTACAGCTTTCTTTCTGGGGTTTCACCAGAAAGCCCCTCTAAACTCCTCCCTCCCCCCAAAAGGAAATTAAATGCAGAAAAACAGAGGCAGAAAAGGAGACAGCTACAGGCAGAATTCACACATTTTGGAAGATAAAAAGGAAGCCAGCCCTGTGGGGCTCAGCTGTGGCAGGGACAGGGACAGGGACTGGGACTGAGCCTTTGCCCATCACCACCCGCATGCCACACCTGCTCCCATGCCCCCTCTGCACCTATCTGTACACCCTACCCCGGCCCGCCAGCCCCCATCCCATGCCCTGCCCACCTGCACGCCGGCCTCCTGCGGGTGCGCCTTCATGGCCTGCAGCGCTGCCACAACCCCGCCACCCTCCACGATAATGCGGCTGTTGTTGGGCTTACGCAGGGCCAGGACACTCAGAGCCCCACAGCTCTGCTCACACACCTGCAGGGGGCAGTCACGGGAAGGCTGAGATGCAGTGGACAGACCCGCCCCCAACATCCCGCTGTGGCCACCAACCCTGGTGAACACCCTGCAGCCTCCCCTCTGTGGGTCTCCGGCAGCTCCTGTGTAATAACAGCACAATGGCAGCGTGACGCAAATATCGGGGTGACAAGGGCACTAGCCCCGGTCAGACCTTTGCAGGGTGCTGGTGATAACTCAGGGACACCCAGAGCAGGTCAGCACTTGAGAGCCAACGCCTGCGACCTTCACCCGCCCTGCCCTGGCCCTGCAGGGGAATAGATCTTCATGCAGATACAGAAACTGAACCGGGATGCACAGCTACTCTGTGTGCCCGAGGTGGGTACCTGGGGGCTGGCCAGGTGCCGGGTCATGGCAGCCATGATGGACTCCATCCCGCCAGCATGGACGATGGCGTCCTTTACATCGTCGTTGCCAGCGATGGCTCGTAGGGCGCTCAGCAACTGCTTCACGAGCTCCTGCATGAGGGACAGGCCCAGTCACCCCAGCAAGGCTGCTGGATTGTGGGAGAGGGCTCTGAGGGAGAATCTGAGGCTGTTTTACTGTTTGACCAACAGGTATGGTGTGACTGCATGGTGTGACTCCAACGAGAAGGGGTGACAGATGCCTGTGGCTCAGGCCGCCTGTGTCCAAACGGTACCATCTAGGTGACTCGATCCCCCAGCCCCACAGGGGCAGAAGGGGCATGTGACTCAGGCCGGCCATCAGAGCACAGGGTGCCCCTGGCCATGGCCACAGACCCAGGGTGGGCCCTAACCATCCTGTACTGAGGAGAGTGGATGAAATGCTATTGGGACCGCTGATCCCCTTGATGGGGAAGCTGAGGGCCCCGCCCCCTGACTACCCAGGAGTACAGGGCAAAAGCATCCCTTCATTTGCTGAAGTTGGTTCCCATTTAGCTCCCAGCCACCTGTACAGAAGGAGGCTGGCTGACCTCACCAGCTGGACCTGGAGGCGCAGGACCATGGCACCCCGGGGGCTTTCCTGCAGCTGCAACTGGACAGGGAGGCACCTGTTGGTTCGCTCCCTGCTGTGGGAGGGCACATGGTGAAGGGCTTGATAATGGGCTGCTAAACAGAGTGATGAGTAGAGGACCCTGCCCTGTTCTGCAGATAGGGAAACTGAGGCAGAGAGGTTTGGGAACTAACCCAAGTATCCCAGTCCTGGCTGACACCCTGTGCCTCCCAGCATCCTTTTCCTGGTACAAAAGGACAGTAAGGGAGGGCAGGAAGGTTTGTCTCCCCTCGATCTTCACTGCCCTCGGGTCAGTGAAAAGAAAAATTGCACCTTGGTTCCGAGATTGGCAGGCAGGGCCAGCTTGTTCTGAGTGTGGCTCGTCAGCTGACTGGGGCCTAGAGGGACAGCGTGCACTGGGCCAGGGGAGCTTTACACCTTAATGCGGCTCTGAGCCCCCACCTGGTGGTCACTGTAGTCAGCCAGCAGGGACACCAGGATGCTCAGGCCCCCGAGGTCGACAACCTCCCGGCAGAACTCGTTGCGGACAGCCAGGCGGGACAGGGTTCCACAGAGCTCGCTCAGGATGCCAGGGTTATCCAGGAATGCTGCAGGGAGAGGAGGAGGCAGTGGTGTTGGGGGCGGGAAGAACCAGCCACAGGGCACTCTGGTTTGGGGGAGGACCCTGCTCCACTGGAAGAGTTCAGTCCTTCTGCCTACTGGGGTGGCCACCAGCACCAGGAAGGCCCCAGGAAAAACACCAGGGGCTGCCTGGGCCTGCAGTGCCCCCTGCTGACTGCTGGGAAGACTTAAGAATGTGCCCCTCCACCCCCTTCCTTCCATCATGTCCTAAAAAAAAATAGCACACCAACTGATGGTCTCACCTAAAAAAAGAAAACTGCAATAGCGCTTAAAAAAAAAAGACATCTGAGACTATTTTTATGATGAGAGGGTAGGAATGGTTTTTCTAGGTGCAACAGAAAACTCTAAAACCATAGAGGGACAAATATGGACTGGGCTGACGTGGGCAAAACTGAACACAGAGGCCACAGATGGAGCTCAGAGGCCCTGCACCAGGAAGCAGAGGCGGCACTCTGGCTGAGAGGGCTAAGGTCCTGCATCTACACAGGCCTGTGTGACGGTCGGTTCCTGTGGCCACCTGTAGCCCCTGCAGTTCCACCCAATGCCAACCTAGCTGTTGCCGTGGAGGTATTCTGTCCACATGGTTACCATTCACAATCAGCTATCTTTTATTATTATTATAATAATTATTACCGAGATGCAGTCTCCCTCTGTCGCCCAGGCTGGAGTGCAGTGGCGTGATCTCGGCTCACCACAACTTCTGCTTCCTGGGCTCAAGTGATCCTCATGCCTCAGCTTCTCAAGTACCTGGGACTACAGGAGCACACCCCCATGCCCAGCAATTTTTGTATTTTTACCAATCCAAAAGTGGTTTCGTCCTGTTGCCCGGGCTGGTCTTGAACTCCTGGGCCCAAACAACCCTTCCACCACAGCCTCGTAAGGTGCTGGCATTACAGGCATGAGCCACCATGCCTGGCCCAGTTGCCTTGAACTGAGATGACCTTGATCAATGTGAACAGGACTCATTCAATCAGCTGAAGTCCTTGGAAGCAAACGGAGGAGCCTCCCAGAGAAGGGGACTGCCCGGGAATTTCCGGCCTGCCCTATGGAGTACCGACTTGCCAGCCCAGAACTGCAGGAGCCCATTCCTTTTTTTTTTTTTTTTTTTAATTAGAGACAGGGTTTCACCATGTTGGTCAGGCTGGTCTTGAACTCCTAATCTTGTGATCCGCCCACCTTGGTCTCCCAAAGTGCTGGGATTACAGGCATGAGCCACCGTGCCCGGCCATGAGCCCATTCCTTACCAAAAGTCCCTTCATAGATACATGTCCTATCTCTCTGGCAGAAACCTGATTGGAGCTCTTATAAATAAAACAAGAAAGGTGCAAGCCACCTCCCAGAAAAGTAGCCTGACTTTGCAGACGGTCAGGACCCATTTTCAGATCTGCTGGAGGTATAGGAGACTGAGGTGGGCCGACCTCCTCAGCAGACAGAGCCAGAACCCCCACACAGGCCCGGCCACAGACCCAGAGCCACGGGGCAGGCAGGAAAGGGGAACTCATCCCTCTGACACCTTCTCTATTCTGGCCCCCAATCAGGACTTTTCTGGTGGGTTCAGTGGATGGTATGGGGGTAGGGGTGGAGACAGAAGCTTAGGGTCTCACAGTCAGCACCATTATCTCCCAGGGCTGGTCACCCAGGAGCCAGACACATGAATGTGCCTAAGGATCTGTGGCTGAATATGATCACGCGTGCACACGTCCATCTGAGACTGCCAGGGTGCGTGCCAGTCAGCCTCCCCCAGTCCTCATATTTCTCTCTGGGGACCTCCCCCTTTCCCTCTCTGTCTCTGGAGTTGGACACAGCAAGCGCTATCCCTAGACACCTCCAGAGATGGGATTGTCACCTGTTCCTGGCCCATGAGTGCTGGCCTGGAATTCTCCAGGCTAGAAAGCATGAGGACATTCTTCATGAGGGCTGCCATTGCAGGTGGGTCTAACCCAAGAGGCGAGTGGAGCCTTCAGCCGTGCCTGAAGCGTCCCTGTGCGCTGACCCCCAACTCTGGTGACAGCTGGCCTGCCCACCTTCATTCACTGACTTATGTTGCCCCCTATCCTACCTTTGGTGGCTTCGATCAACACCTTCAAGCCTCTGTTCTCCTGCACAATCATCTTGGCATGGTCGTGGGCGTGGCTAATGGACATACGCATGTCGTCATTGAAGGTCATGACACGCAGGGCCCAGCAGGCCTCTCTGACCACATTGGCGTGGTGGCCATGATGGACAATGGCGCCAGTCAGCAGGGGCAGCACACCGGCTTTCACCAGGTCTTGCCGATTCTGTTCGTGTTTCAGGCAAGCATGACGAACACAGCGGATCCCAGAGCAGGTCAGGTCGGCCTCGTCAACATTCTGAGCCAGCGTGGCCACCAGCAGCTGCAGGCCCTGGGTGTCCAGGAGGTCTGGCTGGCCATCGGTCAGCACTGACAGGGCATTGAGGGACTGGAGCAGAAGGCCCTGGTCACTTGTAGTGGCCAGCTTCCAGGCAGCAAAGATGATGGGGTAGGCCCCTTTCTGGGCTGCGAGGAAGCAGCAGGCCTTGTCCTGCTTCAACTGGTCACAGAAGCGGGTGAGATGTGCTGACACTTCCTGGGGGCGAGAGCTGGCCACAGACTCCTGTAGGTCACTGAGCGTCTAGGAGACATGGGAGAAACCTCAGCGTCAGCTCAGGCAAGAGGAGCCCAGGGTCACAGCAAGTGTCTGGATCCCTGCAAGATTCCCTCCCCTGGGATCTGGGCCTGCAGCGGAAGTGATGTGGGGCCAGTTACAGCTCTGGCGATTTCCAGACCTGTGCTTCTAGGAGCTTTGAGTTTCAGAGGCCATAGGGTGAAGATACACACACACACCCAGACAACTCAGTGTCCCTACACAGGGACTGCACATATAAATGCAGACATAGGGAGCTTTGAGTTTCAAAGGCCATAGGGTGAAGATTCACACACACACACACACACATACACACACCAAGCACCCAGACAACTCAGTGTCCCCACAGAGGGACTGCACATATAAATGCCGATATATTAAACATTCCAGCCCTACCTGCTATCAAGAGGCCCCAAGCAATACCAGCAGAAGAACTGTCCAGCTGAGCCCAACCAGGCAGAATCACAAAAAGCAGTAACATGCCTGTTGTTTTGGGTTGCTTGTCACACAGCCATAACAAACTGGCACACTCATCAGTGCTCAGCTCCCCAAGAAAGGAGAAAGCCACATTCACCAGACATGCCCATCCTGATGTCTTCTTTCATCTCTCTCATTCACTCCACAGACATTTACTGAGCACCTGCCAAATGCAGTTACACTGTACAGAGAGCTCATTTACCCAAATTTGACTCTAAGCCATTGGGGAAAAATAATAAAACACATGGAACAGGTCAGGTAAGTTTAGCTGCCATTCAACTACATGACCATGGGACATGTTTTGGCATGAGCCAAAGATGAATCTGTGAGCCTGGAGCTTGTGAGATTAATTGCACCCAGACTGAGTCAGGGCGGTTCTACAGAAACCACCAGCCCAAAGGGCTTTGATTTGGCATTGACTGACGTGAGAAACAAAGAAGCCTATATGATAATCCTCACTGAGCTCAGATGTGTGGACCTGAGTCCATGGATGTAACAATGCAATAGGATATTTTAAAAACACATTTTTGCTAAAATGGGATTTGAACTAAAAAAAAAATAAGTTAACAACAGAGTGCATGACCAGGACAGACGTTACTGCAAAGAATACATATGAATGGCCACTAACACATGAAAAGATGCTCAATGTCACTAATCATTAGGAAAAATGCAATTCAGACCTACAGAGGAGTCAGGCGTGGTGCCTCATGCCTGTAACCCCAGCACTTTGGGAGGCCAAGGCAGGAGGATCGCTTGAGCCCAGGAGTTGAAGACCAGACTGGGCAACACATGGAGCAAAAAAGAAAATCAAACACAGAATTACTGTATGATCTGGCAGTTCCACTTCTGGGGATACACCCAAGAGAACTGAAAGCAGTCTCCATCCGGGCGTGGTGGCTCACATCTGTAATCCCAGCACTTGGGAGGCTGAGGTGGGCGGATCACAAGGTCAAGAGCTCGAGACCAGCCTGGCCAATGTGGTGAAACCCCATCTCTACCAGAACTACAAAAATTAGCCGGGCGTGGTGGCGCACGCCTGTTGTTCCAGCCATTCAGGAGGCTGAGGCAGAAAAATTGCTTGAACCAGGGTGGTGGAGGTTGCAGTGAGCCAAGACTGCACCACTGCACTCCAGCCTGGGAAACAAAGCAAGACTCCGCCTCAAAAAAAAAAAAAGAAAGAAAGAAAGAAAGCAGAGTCTCAAGGAGATACCTGTACACCCATGTTCACAGCAGCATTATTCATGAGAGCCAAGAGGTAGACACAACCCAAATGTCCATCAACAGATGAATGAATAATCAAATATCCATTCACACAGTGGAACATATCTGGCCTTAAAACGAGAAGAAAATCAGGCACGTAGGCTGGGTGCACTGGCTCACGCCTGTAATCCCAGCACTTTTGAAGCTGAGGTCAGGAGTTCAAGACCAGCCTGGCCAACATGGTGAACCCTCACCTCTACTAAAAATACAAAAAAAATTAGCTGGACGCATTGGCGTGTGCCTATAATTCCAGCTATGTGGGAGGCTGAGGCAGGACAATGAATTGAACCCAGGAGGTGGAGATTGCAGTGAGCTGAGATCGTGCCATTATAGTCTAGCCTGGGTGACAGAGCAAAACTCTGTCTCAAAAAATAAAAATAAAAAATAAAAACTAATTCAGGCACATAGTATACCATGGATGTACCTTTAGCATATTATGCTAAGTGAAATAAAACAGTCGTCAAAAGACAAATACTGTGATTGATTTCATTTATTAAATAAAATTTTTTTGAGATGGAGTCTCCCTCTGTAACCCAGGCTGGAGTGCAGTGGTGCCATCTCAGCTCACTGCAACCTCCACCTCCCAGGTTCAACCAATCCTCCCACTTCAACCTCCTGAGTAGCTGGGACTAAAGCATGTGCCACCACACCTGGATAATTTTTTGTATTTTTAGTGGAGATGGGGTTTCACCATGTTGGCCAGGCTGGTCTCGAACTCCTGATCTCAAAGTGATCCAGGCCAGGCACGGTGGCTCACGCCTATAATCCCAGCACTTTGGGAGGCCGAGGCGGGTGGACCACGAGGTCAAGAGATCAAGACCATCCTGGTCAACAAGGTGAAACCCCGTCTCTACTAAATATACAAAAATTAGCTGGGTATGGTGGTGCGTGCCTGTAGTCCCAGCTACTCGGGAGGCTGAGGCAGGAGAACTGCTTGAACCCAGGAGGCAGAGGTTGCAGTGGGCCGGGATCGTGCCATTGCACTCCAGCCTGGGTAACAACAGTAAAACTCCGTCTCAAAAAAAAAAAAAAACAAAGTGATCCATCCACCTGGGCTTCCCAAAGTGCTCCGATTACAGGTGTGAGCCATGGCACCCAGCCTGTGATTCCATTTATATGAGGTCCCTGGAGTAGTCAAACTTACAGCAACAGAAGGTAGAATGGTGGCTGCTAGGAGCTGAGGGGAAGAGGAACAAGGAGTTTGTTTCAGTTTTGCAAGATGAGATAGATGGTCATGATGGTTGCACATTATGAATGTACTTAATGACACTGATACATTTAAAAATGGTTATAATGGGGCCAGGCGCAGTGGCTCACGCCTGTAATCCCCGCACTTTGGGAGGCCAAGGTGGGCAGATCACGAGATCAGGAGATCAAGACCATCCTGGCCAACATAGTGAAACCCCATCTCCACTAAAAATACAAAATTAGCTGGGCGTGGTGGCACATGCCTGTAGTCCTAGCTACTTGGGAGACTGAGGCAGGAGAATTGCTTAAACACAGGAGGTAGAGATTGCAGTAAGCCAAGATCACGCCACTGCACTATAGCCTGGCTAACAGTGAGACTCCGTCTCAAAAAAAAAATATGGTTACAATTGAAAATGTTTTTATGAATATGTTACATTAACAGCAGTGTAGCATTTCAGCAGAAATCCTGCAAGAAACTTGAAAAGCTCCTGCCAGAAATGCCTTTGAGAATGCACAGTACTGGAGTTAGAACTACCAAGTTTTTCACAAGGAATTACTATGTTAGCAGGGACATGTAAACTAAAAATAAAATTCTTAGCTGGGCATGGTGGCTCATGCCCGAGTGGGCTGAGATTGAGCCACTGCACACCAGCCTGGGTGACAGAGCGAGACTTTGTCTCAAAAAATAAACAAATAATAAAATTAATTAATCCTTATTAAGCAAGAAAGGCAAAAAGCAAACTAACAGCAATGAGACAATTTTCACAAGACCTCCTCAGGCCAGGAGAGGCCAGGACCCTGAAGCCTTCAGCGAGCTGGATTTATCCCCACAGCCGTCTCTTCCAACTTCCTCCTCTATCACTGCACCTCCAGCTCCCGGGTGAATGACGTTTTTTCTCTTTGGATCTCAACATCCCCATCTGTACAACGGGGAGATCCCAGCCTTGCACACGCTATCTGAACAATGACTGAGAAGGCAGGGAGAAAGCAGCTGCACAGAACCAGGCCCATAGCTGGTTCAGACACTGGAGCCTTCTGCTGTTCTACAGAGTTTGATGGGTGACCTTAAGGAAAGCAGTGAACTTCTACCTTCCTTGTCGGGTCTCTGGAGAGGTAAGTGCCAGCTCCTGGCCTGTTTCCCCATCACTAAGGCAGGAATGACACCATCTACCTCACAGGTGAGCTTCAGTGCTAACGGACAGGGTGGAAAGTGCCAGTGAACAGTCTGCTCAGTAAGTGACAGCCTTACTGTGAGCCCAGTGTCTCGTCCTCTGTTTCCTGTCCATCTGTCTCTGGGAAGCCAGAGAGGCCCTTCTATGGTGTCCCTGACTCTGGGCTCCCAGCATGAGGGACAACCAAGCTGTCCAGCTGATTTCAGTGTACTGAAATCAGCCTGTGAAGCTTGGCGTCCCCTGCATCAGAAGGCATGCCACCCTCAGACAGGGACTCAGGGAAACCTGGCTGCAAACGAGCATGCCTGGACATGCTGGGCAGGCCTTGCCCGTCAGAGCCTGCACTCTGCCATCCAGGAAACAGGTGACATGGGACCTATTGTGTGGGCTGCCCCCTCCTACCTGCAGGACGTCATGTGTGGGCTCCTGGGGTCCGTCTGCAGAGACTTTAGGCACCGTCTTTACGATGTTGCTCAGATCAACCCCTGTTGGGGGCGGGGGGAGTAAGCACACAGGGGTCAGAAAGCAAGCGACAGCTGTCTTCCCTGTGAGTGTGCTGAAATCACACCTCAGCATCCTTCTGCTGGGACCACCCCAAGCCAGAAGCCTCCCACCTGCCCATTCCCACACAAGCCACATCAACACAGGGGGTAGAAGGCATTGGGTGCTTCTGCCACTGGGCCATGGGCCAGCCAAAGGGAGCAGAGTGGTAGTGAGGCTGCTGCCACGAAAGGCTGTCGCCATAGGCCATGATGTCTGTGTGGTAAGGTGCCAGTGCTGCCTGGCGGGATTGGTGGGGGAGGGAGGGACCCCATGGCCTTCTCCCTTGGGGCTCCTGTCCCTCCTAGTTCTGGCTGATTCTTGTACCTGCTGGCACCCCCACAAGGAGCCCCTGCCATCCTGGATGCTTTTGCTTGTCCCACTGGCCCCTGTCTAGGACCTACATTGCACTGTGCCTGAGAGGCCGACCTCTGAGGCTGGACCCTGGGTTTGTTCAATGCGGAAGTGAACTTGAGATGGGGACTGGAGGAGGGGAGTGTGGGGTGTTCATTTCCAGCTCCCTGCCTCTGTCCCAGGGCCCAGTGCCTGTCAGGTGACCCCTGCCCAGGGCTTCTGCTCGCTGCGGTCAGAGTCTCTGCCATGGCTAGTTATGCTGTGATGGTCGCCTAACCCTGCCCACACCATTGCAAACAGCCCCTCATGCTACACTCCTCCGTGCCCGGTTTCAACACGCCATCTGTTTCCACAGGCTGGTAACCAACACCTACTTCTGCCTCTGGAGCTCAAGGTGGGGTAGAGTGGGGCAGGGAGGCAGGAGCCCTGTTTCCCAGGCCAGGGTCAGGGAAAGCCTCTTCAAGGAAGGGATCAAATGAGACTCATGAGAAGGATCCAGCCCATGAATATCTGGGTGAGGTGGAGGCAGGGACAGAGAGGGCGTGTGAGAGGTGGGAGCAGGATAACCAGCCTGCCTTGGGCACAGCCTGGAGGGGACAAGGCCTAGTGGGCACCTGGTTTCTGTGCCAGGCATGTGGCAGTCCCCAGAGGGCAGCAGGACCCTTGCATCGCTCTCACCGCCCTACCTTGCGATTCAAACTGCTCCACGGCCTCTTTCACCGCCTCCTCTGGCCCCATCGCAAACTCCTCTATGTTCTCACGCACAGCTGCGTCAAAGGTCTCCTGGGTGATGCACTTAGACGCCATCTTCCCTGCACTGATGTTGGTGTGCAGCCGACAGGTGCTCCGAAGCTGAGAAGTTAGGGCAAAGAGAGAGCTACCTCAAGGGTGAGCAGGAACGGCAGGGCCTGGCCACTGTGAAAACGCCACTTACAAAGCATCTACCAGGGACCAGAGCCCTACAACCATCCTGGAGAAACTCTTCCCACCTAGATCACAGGCAAGAGTGATATCCCTACTTCCCTAGAGCTTCTACAAATACAGAAGAGGCCAGATGTGGTGGCTTAGCCTATAATCCCAGCACTCGAAGAGGCCGAGGCAGGAGGATCACTTGAGCCTGGGAGGTCAAGGCTGCAGTGAGCCATGATCACCCTAGTGCGCTCCAGCCCGGGCCACAGAGTGAGACTATGTCTTGAAAACAAAAAGTGCAGAAAAGAACACAGAGTTTACTATATTTTATCTAAGAAAGGTGGATCTTTAATGTAATGATACAAGTAAGGTTATTCTAAAACTACTACGAATGTAGCAAATAATAATGATGACTATTAGGAATCAGCATAGAAGAAGAAAGATTCTGGCTGGGCACAGGGTGTCAATGCCTGTAAGCCCAACACTTTGGGAGGTCAAGGCAGGAGGATCACTTGAGCCCAGAAGTTTGAGACCAGCCTGGACAACATGGCGAAACTCTGAAACGCTGTCTTTACCAAAATAAAAGTAAAAATTAGCTGGGTGTGGTGGCACATGCCTGTAGTCCCAGCTATTAAGGAGGCTGAGGTTGGAGGATCGCTTGAGCCTGGGAGGCCGAGGTTATAGTGAGCCAAGATTGTACCACTGCACTCCAATCTGGGCAACAGAGCAAGACCCTAATTCAAAAAGAAAAAAAAAGATTCTAACATCATAAAATCAAGGAAGTGAAAACTCAGAACTCCCTATAATTAACAACATTGTATTGTATACTTGAAATTTGCTAAAAGGGTAGCTCTTAAGTGTTCTCACCACAAAAAAGAAAAAGGTAACTGTTGATTGAGGTGAGTATTTCATAATCTGCCTGCATATAAAAATCATCGAGTTGTATAATGTAAACATATGCAATATATTTGTATAATTTTTTTTTTTTGAGACGGAGTTTCACTCTTGTTACTCAGGCTGGAGTGCAATGGCACGATCTCAGCTCACCGCAACCTCCGCCTTCTGAGTTCAAGCAATTCTCCTGCCTCAGCCTCCCAAGTAGCTGGGACTACAGGCACGCACCACCATGCCCAGCTAATTTTTTGTATCTTTAGTAGACACGGGGTTTCACCATGTTGACCAGGATGGTCTCGATCTCTTGACCTCATGATCCACCCGCCTCGGCCTCCCAAAGTGCTGGGATTACAGGCGTGAGCCACTGCGCCCGGCCCCGATAGCACTTTTCTAGAGGTAGTAGTGAATACCTCTAAACCAACTATGGTTTCTACCATTTCCCACAGGAGCTAGGGGCAGGGGTAGGTGGCTCACTCCTGTAATCCCAGCACTTTGGGAGGCTGAGCAGGAAGATGGCTTAAGGCCAGGAGTTCAAGACCAGCCTGGGCAACATGGGGAGGCCCTGTCTCTACATAAAATCTTTAAAAACAAGGAGCCGGGCTTCTGACGGAATGGCTGATTCCAGGTCCCAGCAGGTCATGGGCCGGGTAACCCTGGGGCATCTTGTGAGCCCAGAGACCAAGGAAGCTTCCAAACCCTAAGGGGTACCTGCTAGCTACAGATGAGACAAGTGAGCATTAAAAAATATATACAGTACCTATCAAAATAAAAATCTGGGCTGGGTGTAGTGGCTCACGTCTGTAATCCCAGCACTCTGGAAGGCCGAGGCCAGCAAGCAGATTATCTGAGGTCAGAAGTTCGAGACCAGCCAAGCCAACATGGTTAAACCCCTTCTCCACTAAAAATACAAAAATTGGCCGGGTGTGGTGGCTCACACTTATAATCCCAGCACTTTGGGGGACTCAGGTGGGCAGATCATGAGGTCAGGAGTTTGAGACCAGCTTGTCCAATATGGTGAAACCCTGTTTCTACTAAAAAATACAAAAATTAGCCGGGCGTGGTAGTGCACGCCTGTAGTTCCAGCTACTCGAGAGGCTGAGGCAGGAGAATTGCTTGAATCCAGGAAGCAGAGGTTGTAGTGAGCTAAGATTGTACCACTGCACTCTAACCTGGGCAATAGAGTGAGACTGCTCAAAAAAAACAAAAAATCAAAATCTGTGCTTTCATAATACTAAAACAAATATAGCTCAGCCTTCTGAAAACTGCCCAACCAAGAATCTAGCACTCAGCGGGTAGTGGTGGCATGCTCTTGTACTCCCAGGTACTACTCAGGAGGCTGAGATGGGAGGATCACTTGAATTCAGGAGTTCAAGACCAGCCTGGCCAATGTCATGAGACACTGTCTATAAAATAATTCATATATTTTTAAAAAAGAATCTAGCATTTAACCTGCCTCCCTTGTACAAATGGATTCCAGGTTACAGAAAGAGAATGAAGAAAAGTTCTGCTTCCAATTCCAGCTGATCAGCCGAGACAGGAGAGAATCAGATGATGAACTCGTAAGATGTAAAACCATCAGGTGTAAAACTGATAAGCGCCTGACAAGGGGCGGACAGGAACTGAGTCTACCGCTGTCATCAAAAGAGAAACCAGCCAACACCTACCTCCTGACCAACAGCAAAAGGCACCTGTGAAGTCAGCGTGCCCAAATCTGATCTCAAAACCTGAATCTCAAACCTGAATCTGATCATGCACTCAGGCCACCCCCTGCCACGATGAAACATTCTGTATCTGCACTGCCTAGTATAGCAGCCGTTGGCCTATGTGGCTAGCACACAGCTGAAGTGTGGCAGTGCGGCTGAGGAACTGAGGGTGTCATTTTATTTTGTTTTAATTTATTTTAATGTATATAGCCATACATGATGAGTGACTATGGTATTGCACGGCACAGCTCTGACACCCTGACCAACACCATGAGCATGTGATCTGCAAAATCTCAATTAGGGAAGAGAATGTCAACTACAGGACAAACACTCAGAGTTTTCAACAAATAAATCACAAGAACAAAGAAAAGGAGAGGGAGTCTATCAACAGATGAATGGATAAACAAAATGGTCCATGTGCACAGAGGAATATTACTCAGTCAGAAAAAGGAATGAGATGCTGACTCATGCTACAATGGGGATGGACCTCAAAAACATCATGCCTCATCAAAGAAGCCGGAAACAAAAGGCCTCATAGTGCACAATTCCAATGATATGGAATGTCCAGAAAAGGCAAATCCACAGACACAGAAAGCAGAAACTCTGTTTCAAAAAAAAAAAAAAGTGTGTGTGTGTGTGTGTGTGTACAGACAAACCCCCTTATAAAATAAAAATAAACAAGTAGGGCCAGGCGCGCGGGCTCACACCTGTAATCCCAACACTTTGAGAGGCTAAGGCAGGCAGACCACCTGAGGTCAGGAGTTCAAGACCAGCCTGGCCAACATGGCAAAACCCCGTCTCTACTAAATAAACAAAAAGCAGTGGGGCGCCTGTAATCTCAGCTACTCAGGAGGCTGAGGCAAGACAATGGCTTGAACCTAGGAGGTGGAGGTTGCAGTGAGCTGAGATCGTGCCACAGCACTCCAGCCTGGGCAACAAGAGCAAGACTCCGTCTAAAAAAAAAATAAACAAACAAGTAAAACCCAGTACAGGTACACCCTAGAAACCATGGACAGGTATCAGCACTTAGATGACCCTTAACCTTGGGCAGCACCTTCCCCCCGACAGGTGGGAAGGGGACATAGAGTTAAGTAAGATAAAACTCTCGCTAAGAACACCAAATCCCTGTGTAATTCTCTTCCAACCCTGTAGATCAACAGTCCCAACCTTTTTAGCCTAAGGGACTGTTTCGTGGAAGACAGTTTTTCCATGGATATGATGGAGCTGGGGTGGGGATGGTTTCGGGATGGTTCAAGCTCATTACATTTGTTGTGCACTTTATTTCTATTATTATTACATTGTAGTATATAATGAAATAATTCTACAACTCACTGTAACGTAGGATCAGTGGGAGCCCTCAGCTTGCCCTCTAGCAATCAGGCAGTCCCATCTGAGGGGTGATGGGACACAATGACAGATCAGGCATTAGATTCTTATAAGGAGCACAGAACCTAGATGCTGGCATGCGCAGTTCACAGCAGGGTCCGTGCTCCTGTGAGAATTTCACGTTGCTGAGCTGACCAGAGGTGGAGGTCAGGTATAATGCAAGTGATGCGGAGTCACTGTAAACATAGAGGAAGCTTCGCTCACTCACCCTGTGCTTACCTCCTGCTGTGCCGCCCAGGCCCTAACAGGTCACGGACCACTGGACCAGTATGGGTCCATGACCCAGGGGTTGGGGACCCCTGCTGTAGATGATCTTAACAAGAAGGACTTCACAAGGTGCAAGTGGATCATTAACACCCAACATTGGCTGGATGCAGTGGCTCACGCCTGTAATCTCAGTACTTTGGGAGGCCAAGGTGGGTGGGTCACGAGGTCAGGAGTTCAAGACTAGCCTGACCAACATGGTAAAACCCTGTCTCTCTAAAAACACAAAAATTAGCCAGGCGAGGTGGTGCACACCCGTAATCCCAGCTACTCAGGAGGCTGAGGCAGGAGAATCGCTTGAACCCAGGAGGTAGAGGATGCAGTGAGCCTAGATCACGCCATAGCACTCCAGCCTGGACAACAGAGTCGGACTCCGTCTTAAGCACAAAACAAAACAAAACACCTAACATTTGCCACCGTCCCTTTGGAACAAAGGGAAGAACAGGCCTCAGGCCCAGAGCCTAACAGAGGTTAACAACTTTTTAAATTTTAATTGTTTTAATATATTCACCTTGTTTATTGCAGTAATACCAAGTTTCCATCCTGGAATTGATTATCAAGTTTCCACTTAAGGCCAGTTACGATGGCCTGCACTTTGAGAGGCCGAGGCGGGAGGATCACATGAGGCCAGGAGTTTGAGACCAGCCTGGGCACATCGCAAAACTCTGTCTCTACAGAAAGTACAAAAACTAGCCAGGTGCGGTAGCACAGACCTGTAGTTCCACTGTTTGGGAGGCTGAGGTGGGAGCCTGGAGAGGTCAAGGCTGCAGTGAGCAGAAATTGTGCCCCGGCACTCTAGCCTGGGTGACAAAGTGAGATCCTGTCTCAAAAAACAAAAAGAAAAGAAAAGAAGGGCTAGGCACAGTGGTTCACGCCTGTAATCCCAGCACTTTGGGAGGCCGAGGCAGGCGGATCTCGAGGTCAAGAGATCGAGACCATCCTCACCATGATGAAACCCCATTTCTACTAAAAATACAAAAATTAGCCGGGTGTGGTGGCACACACCTGTAGTCCCAGCTATTGGGGAGGCTGAGGCGGAAGAATCACTTGAACCCAGGAGACAGAGGTTGCAGTGAGCCGAGATTGCGCCACTGCGCTCCAGCCTGGCTACAGAGCAAGACTCCGTCTCAAAAAAAGAAAAGAATAAAAGGTCATTCTGGCCCACACTTCTCCTTTCAGGCAGTGGCATGGGATGTACACATTGCATCTGTGTCCCTGCAGATGCCCACTGCACACTGCATACTGACTAAGGGGAGGAGGACTGGCTCCCAGGCAGCCTGCAGAACTCAGTTACCAGGCCCTCTACTTTTCTTTTTTTTTTTTGAGATGGAGTCTTGCTCTGTTGCCCAGGCTAGAATGCAAAGGTGCAATCTTGGCTCACTGCAACCTCTGCCTCCCGGGTTCAAATGATTCTCATGCCTCAGCCTCCAAGTAGCTAAGACTACAGATACATGCCACCACGCCCGGCTAATTTCTGTATTTTTAGTAGAGACGGTGTTTCACCATGTTGGTCATGCTGGTCTTGAACTCCTGACCTCAGGTGATCTGCCCGCCTTGCCCTCCCAACCTGCTGGGATTACAGGTGTGAGCCACCGTGCCCAGCCAGATCCACTTTTCTTCAGTTCCCTCTGTGTCAAACAGAGATAAACACAGAATCTACCTCATAAGCCAGTAGTGAAAAATTCAGCCAACTCCTATAAATTCCTCAGAACAGGATGTGGACAGAGTAGAAACTCAATAAATGTTAGCTATTTGTTCCTTTCCTTTGTTGCTTAAGAGGCAACTCAGCAAGTGCAGGAGTCCCATCTCACTCCTTTGCAGACAGGCCCCTCTCCTTTCTCCCCCAGAAGAAAAGGGAGCTCTTTAAGGGCTGCTATGGATTTCCAAGGTCAAAGGTGAAGGAGGAGAAATGTGAAGAGCTTCTCAGTGGGAAGAGAGGAGTAGGAGACTCTATTCCCACCACCCCGGCCAGGCCAGGAAATTCCCTGTGGCCCTCAGTATCTTTACCCGAAAACAGTTTTGCTGAATTTCACCCTGGCAATGTAAATTGAGAGCTGATGTTCACAGGTGTAGGACAGACAGTCATCCCTCAGCTCACCTGAGACAAATGCTGTGACCTCCTGAGGTCATGAATCTGTCCTTAACCTTGGCAAAATAAACTTGATTTTTTTATTTTTTTTTGAGATGGAGTCTCTCTGTCGTTCAGGCTGGAGTGCAGTGGTGCGATCTTGGCTCACTGCAACCTCCGCCTCCTGGGTTCCAGCAATCCTCCTGCCGCAGTCTCCTGAGTAGGTGGGATTACAGGCACGCACCACCACGCCCGGCTAATTTTTCTATTTTTTTAAGTCGAGACGGATGTTCTGCCATGTTGGCCAGGCTGGTCTCGAACTCCTGACTTTGTGATCCGCCCTCCTGGGCCTCCCAAAGTGTTGGGATTACAGGCGTGAGCCACCACGCCCAGCCAAGCTTTCTAAATTGATTGACACCTATCTCAAATACTTCAGATTCTGTCCTCCGCGGAGCTTCTACCAGCACTTCCAGGTGGCTGCCTTTCCAGGCCGCTCAGAGAGAGCCCATGCTCTCTGGCCTCTGCTCCCCGACCCACAAACCCTCCCTTCAACCCACTCCTGAGCTAATTGAGTTAGGGAGGTCTGGCTCTGTGACCACCCCTGAGCCAAGTCCTCTAAGGTCCCCTAAGTCTTGCACAGGGCTGGGTTGGGGGAGGAAAGTACAGATTTGGAACACATAAGACAGTGCCTAGGGATGGCCAAGTGAGAATTACCTGGAGAACAGCTCAAGCTAAAAGGGGGAAACACATTACCAGTCCCTATGATCCATCAGGGCATGCTGAGGGTAAAATGGAAGGTAAGTCTCCTAACTGGCAGCTAGTTTCCCTCTCTCAGCCAGGTTCTGCTCATGTAGAAAACTGTGCTGGCAGGTGCGGTGGCTCATGCCTATAAGCCTAGCACTTTGGGAGGCTGATGTGGGTAGATCACTTGAGGTCAAGAGTTTGAGATCAGCCTGGCCAAAATAGTGAAATCCTGTCTCTACTGAAAATACAAAACCTTAGCCAGGTTGAGGCAGGAGAATCCCTTGAACTCGGGGAGCAGAGGTTATGGTGAGCAGACACCTTGCCACTGCATTCCAGCCTGGGCGACAGCAGGGCTGTTTGAAAAGAAAAAAAATAAATAAGGGGGGCCGGGCATGGTGGCTCACGCCTGTAATCCCAGCATTTTGCAGGGTGAGGTGGGCAGATCACCTGAAGCCAGGAATTTGAGACCTGCCTGGGCAACACGGAGAAACCCTGTCTCTACTAAAAAATACAAAATTGGCTGGATGTGGTGGTGCACACCTGTAGTCCTAGGTGGCTGAGGAAGGGGATTCTCTTGAACCCGGAAGGTGGAGGTTGCAGTGAGCCAAGATCACGACACTGCACTCCAGCCTGGGCAACAGAGCAAGACTCCGTCTCAAAAAAAAAAAAAAAAAAAAAAAAAAAAGACTCTATCCACATCTCCCTCTACCAGCCACAACCACTCTGGTTCAATCACCAGCCTCCCTTGAGGGCGGCCTCATCTGTCACTCCCAGAGCCTTGATACCACCTCACTCACCTGCTCAAAACCCAGTAGTGGCTTCCCAAGTCTCTCAGAACAAAACCCAGTCTTCTTATTGGCACTTTCTCTACCTAAGCCTTCCAACCTGCTCTTCCCCGCCTCTTTCCCATTCTTCCCAGCACTCAAGAGACAACCTTCAAAACCACTTGTAGGTAAACAGCAGCCCCTGCTCTCCTGTCCCGTCACTCTTACATTATTTGTACACCATTCCCTGTATCTACAGCGACATTGTTCATTCACTCATTTATTTGTTTGCACCCTGTAGCCTCCTTGCCCCCACTGCCTAGGACGGGGCCCGATAAGCAGCAGGCACTCAGTACACAGGTGCAGAATGAATAAATAAAACGAATGAAAAGAAAACGAAGGCGAGGGAAGCCACGGATTTTGTCCCCAAGCGGCTTCTGTAAAATTCATTCATTTTCCCCCAAAACAGGTCCCTGAGGGTTGCGCCAGCCGAACCCCGCGGCACCCCCACTCCCCGCGCGACAGGGCTCCGCGGCCGCCGCTTCTCACCCGGTCTTCGCGGCCACGTGGGGAAAGGAGGGGCGCACGGCTGTCACCCAAGGCACCGCCTCTAGCCCCTTCCGGCCGCCGTACGCGCGCAGGCGCTGTGGTGCCCTCCGTCGGCCTGCCTGAGCCTCGTGAACAGCTCACGAGGTAACTAAGGGCGACCGCGAACTGAGGTAAAGCCAACAAGGCCACCTGGTGCGCGACGGTGGCGTCTTTGCCTCCCTTTCCGGGAGGCTCACTGTGGTTGCCGCCCGCCCCACCCCCGCGCCCCCGCAGGGAAATTTATTGCCTCCGGAGCGTCCGCCCAGAAGAAGCGGGAACCGCGCTTGCGCAGAAGAGCCCGGCAGCGGCGGCCCACGCCTGCGCACCAGGACTCGGCGGCGGCTTGCGCCTGCGCGGCGCGGCGCTGCAGAGACCGTTGGTTCATTTGCATGTCCCCGCCTCGCGCGGCGGCGGCGGCGGCGGGTGAGGAGCCTAAGGCGGCGGCGGGGGCGTCTCCGCGCGCGGTGGTCTCGGGGTGAGGCCCGGGCCCTGGCGTCGTTGGTGGGTGGGTCCCGGGGTGGGAGGCACGGACTCGGCCTCGGGGGCCCGCCCCGGGCTCCGTCATGGCGTCGCAGGCTCGGCCCTCTCGCTGCGGAGGTGGCCGCGTCCCAGCTGGGTTGGCCTGGGTGACCGGCTGCGGCCTCCGGGGCCCGGCGCCCCCATTTTCTCTCCCTCAGAGGCGGGGAGACGGCGGGCCGCGTCTAGAAAGGCTCATTGGTTCAGTCGTTCATTCATTCCTCCCAAACTCTGGGGGTCCCGCTCGTGAGGATTTAACGGCGCCCAGCGCTGCATCGGGCCCTTCCCCTTTTTCGAACCGGTTCAGCCCCCATAGCAGCCCCTTTACTAGCTGCCCATTCCATAGTTGGGGAAACAGGGGCACAGAAAGCTTAGGATCGTGTGAGTCGAACCTGGGTCACCTGACCCTGGAACCCTGCTTTTCGCTAGCAGAGAACGAGGGGGCACCCCAGGAAAAGGGCTGGAGGATGGGACGAGGGGGTGGTCGTGATGGGAAATCCACCCTACAGATTGCTTCTTGAAGGTGGAGGTTTTGCGAGGCGGGTATCTTGATGGTTAAGGACGCAGCCCCTGGACCCCTAATGTTGCCTCTTAATTTTTTACTCATTCTTCGGGGCTTTGGATGCATGAATACCCTCTTCACCAGGTTCAAGTCTGGGCTGGCTGATCTTGAGTGGGTGGCCAAGTGTGTCTCCCTTTGCCTCCTCATCCTAATGTCATTCATAACAGGACCCGCCTCTTCAGTGGGTGGTTGCGAGATGGTGCAAAATGAACTGTGTCACTAATTCATTGTCACTGGTTGGAGGTCCCGCCACTCACTGTCGAGAGGCTTCTTTAGAAGGGAAGGAAGGTCTCAGAGCCTCTGTGCCCTGCCGGGTTTGTAAAATGGGAAAAGAGCCATCCTGGGCTAGGCGCAGTGGCTCGTGCCTGTAATCCCAGCACTTCTGGAGGCCGAATTGGTTGGATCACTTGAGGTCAGGAATTCAAGACAAGCCTGGCCAACATGGTGAAACCTAAAATATAAAATATTTTTACCTAAAATATAAAAATTAGCCAGGTGCGGTGGCAGACGCCTGTAACCCCAGCTACTCGGGAGACTGAAGCAGGAGAATCGCCTGAGCCCAGGAGGCGGAGGTTGCAGTGAGCCAAGATCACGCCACTGCACTCCAGCCTGGGCAACAGAGAAAGTCTCCAAAAAGAAAAAAGAATGATCCCTTCTTTCCTAACCACGATTTGAGGGTTGTGGTCCCACCCTTCCTACTCTGTTATGCTCAGTTATGTGTGTTGGTTGACACCTTCCTCCAGCAGGTAGGACTGCTTTTACAGAGCTGCTTTTAAGGGATTCTGAGGAGATGGGCTCAGAGAAGGTTTGTCTTGCTACTTTTCAGCCAACATACAACTGTGAACTTCCTGAGGGCAGAGGCCCCCCTCTTAAAAGGGTCCAACCAAAGCAGGCGGATCGCTAGAGGTCAGGAGTTCGAGATCAGCCTGGCCAACCTGGCAAAACCCTGTCTCTACTAAAAAAAAAATAAAAGTCCAGCCTGCCTCTGAAGTACCATTCGAGGATTATAGATTACTGCCTCCTTACTTCGAGGATTCTGTGAATTACTTAGAGCAGATTCTGTGAATGCATAGTTGTTACTCTTTTTCTTTTTCCCTTGAGACAGAGTTTCACTCTGTCTCCCAGTCTGGAGTACAGTGGCACGATCTCGGTTTACTGCAAACTCTACCTCCTGGGTTCAAGCAATTCCCATGCCTCAGCCTCCTGAGTATTTGGGGTTACAGGCACATGCCACCATGCCTGGCGATTTTTTTTTCTGAGACAGAGTCTCACTCTGTCACCCAGGTTGGAGTGCAGTGGTATCATCTAGGCTCACTGCAACCTCCACCTCCCGGGTTCAAGCAGCTCTCTTGCGTCAGCCTCCCAAGTAGCTGGGATTACAAGTGCATACCACCATGCCTTGCTAATTTTTGTATTTTTAGTAGATATGGGGTTTTGCCATGCTCGCCAAGCTGGTCTTGAACTCCTGACCTTAAGTGATCTGCCCATCTCAGCCTCCCAAAGTGCTGAGATTACAGGTGTGAACCACCGCACCCAGGCTGAATTTTTTGTATTTAAGTAGAGGCAAGGTTTCACCATGTTGCCCAGGCTGGTCTGGAACTCCTGAGCTCAGGCTATCCACCTGTCTCTACCTCGCAAAGTGCTCGGATTACAGGCATGAGCCGCCTCACCTAGCCCCATGATGTTACTCTTAGTGTGTTTTTTTCTCTCTCACTATAGGGCAAAATAACATGGCAGCCAGACGAATTACACAGGAGACTTTTGATGCTGTGTTACAAGAAAAAGCCAAACGATACCACGTGGATACCAGTGGTGAGGCTGTAAGCGACACTCTTCAGTTCAAAGCTCAAGGTAAAATGAAGTAGTGTTCTTTTGTTACTGTTTTGGTGAGGATGTATCTCAGGGCTAGGGCAGTAAGATTTCAATACCTTGGACAAACAATACTACTTCTGATACTTACATCCTTACTTTCCTTTTTTAGGAGATGTTTTTGTGTCTGAGTGCATGTGTGTTTATGTTTGAGATGGAATCTCGCTCTGTTGCCCAGGCTAGAATGCAATGGCACTCTTGCCTCATTGCAACATCCACCTCCTGGGTTCAGGTGATTCTCCCGTCTCAGCCCACTAAGTAGCTGGGATTACACACATCCACCACCACGCCCAGCTATTTTTATGTATTTTTAGTAGTGACGAGGTTTCACCATGTTGGCCAGGCTGGTTTCAACAAACTCCTGACCTCCAGTGATCCACCCACCTTGGCCTCCCAAAGTGCAGGGATTACAGGCATGAGCCACTGTGCCCAGCCCAGATAATGGTTTTTATTTTGGTTTGGTTTAGTTTTTGAGACAGGGTCTCACTCTGTCCCCCAGGCTGAAGTGCAGTTATAGCTCACTGCAACCTTGAACTCCTAAGCTTAAGCCATCCTCTTGTCTCTGCCTCCCAGAGTGCGGGATTATAGGCATGAGCCACTTCACCTGATCAGGAGATAAGGTTTTTATATGTCATTCATCATTATGCAGATATCTGGAGCTTCTCCCCGACCCACCTCAGGACAGTTTTTGTTTGTTTGTTTTGAGATGGAGTTTTGCTCTTGTCACCCAGGCTGGAGTACAATAACAGGATCTCAGCTCACTGCAACCTCTGCTTCCTGGGTTCAAATCATTCTCCTGCTTCAGCCACCATGTATGGCTAATTTTTGTATTTGTAGTAGAGATGGGATTTTACCAGATTGGCCAGGCTGGTCTTGAACTCCTGACCTCAGGTGATCCGCTCTCCTCAGCCTCTCAAAGTCCTGGGATTACAGGCATGAGCCACCAAGCCCAGCCCAGTTTTGTTTTTTTTAAATAGATATGGGATTTTGCTGTGTTTTTCAGGCTGGTCTTCAACTCCTGGGCTCAAGTGATACTCCCAGCTCCACCTCTGACGTGTTGCAGTTACAGGTGTGAGCCATGCACCCAGCTCCGAGGCAGGTTCTTGGATTCATTTCCTGGCTCCATCCCCATCACCACTGCCCAGGTTTAAGCTCTATCAGTTCTTACCTGGATAATCACAACAATCTCCTTCTGCAGCGTCTCTCTGTTTTTGGCTTCATTTCCCTCATATCTGCCCTTTATAGAGATGGTCCACAGATCTATTAGTGCCAGCCTCACTGAGCCAATGCTCTGCTTGGACTTTGGGGCTCCCCACTGCAGGATACATCCTCAGAGGTGTGCAGGAGCAGCCAGGTCACAGTTTGAACAAGACAAGAGGGCATGGGGCGGCCTGTAGATCTGCCGACTTTAGGCCCTGCCTAAAGACAATCTTGTTGGAAAGTTTTGACACACCATGCCAGCAGAATCAAAAAGAGGGCCTGCACTGATCACAGGATGGCATGAAGGGTCCTTCATTTCCTGCCTTGGGCCTCACATTGAGGGCTACTGTGCTGCCTGCTGTCTGTGCTTTGAATTCCTCCTGTCCCAGCATTGCCTGGCAAATTCCCTCAGGCACCAAGACAGCTCACAGGTGCCTTCCCCCAGGAAGCCTCAGCATGCCTTGAGGCTGATTTGGTTGCCCTTTCCTGCCCCAAGGAAGTACGTGTACTCACTCCTCTGCCTGTCTCCTCTGGGTAGCACAGACAGTGCTGCTCCCAGCTATACCAGCCTTGGGGTGGAGGAAGTCTCCTGTGTTGGGTGAGTAAATCTTAAAGTGTTTGGATAGGAATAATAAACATGCTCTGCACCTGGAGAAAGCGAGGCTCAGAGATTGTCTTCAGATCTTGAGTTTTCAAAAATTACATGAGTAGTACACAAAAACATTCCTATTATAAAATATTGTAACAGGCCAGGTGCAGTGTCTCAGGCCTGTAATCCCAGCACTTTGGGAGGCTGAGGGGGCGGATCACAAAGTCAGGCACTCAAGAGCAGCCTGACCAACATGATGAAACCCCATCTCTACTAAAAAAATACAAAAATTAGCCGGGCGTGGTGGTGCGTGCCTGTAATTCCAGCTACTCAGGAGGCTGAGGCAGGAGAATCACTTGAACCTGGGAGGTGGGGGTTGCAGTGAGCTGAGACAGCGCTACTGTACTCCAGTCTGGATGACAGAGCAAGACTCCGTCTCAAAAAATAATAATAAAAAAATTGGAACAAATAAGAAGTAAAGATTAAAATAAAAGTTCTCTTAACTGCTTGCTTATCCATCTTAGGTATAACTGTATCCGTGGTTTTTGTGCGTTCTTTTGTTCTTTTAGTGTAATGCGCATATATGATGCTGAATATTTATGTTTCATTTAGATGGAGATGTAAATATTTGTTAAACTTTACCTAGAGACTCAAGCACCAATACACATATTAGTTTCTTTAAGAAGAATTAGGGAGCTGGGCACAGTGGCTCAAACCAGTAATCCCACCACTTTGGGAGGCTGAGGCAAGAGGATCATTTGAGACCCGGAATTACAAACCAGTCTGGGCAAAAAAGTGAAACTCCATCTCTACAAAAAAATAAACTGGGCACAGTGGCATGCACCTATGGTCATAGCTACTTGGGAGGCTGAGGCAGGAATTTTGCTTGTGCCTGGGAAGTTGAGGCTGCAGTAAGCTGTGTTTGCACCACTGTCCTCCAGCCTGGGCGACAGAGTGAAACCCTGTCTCAAAAGCAAAAAGATGGCCAGGTGCAGTGGCTCTCACATGTAATTCCAGCACTTTGGGAGGCCAAAGAGGGCAGATCACCTAAGGTCAGGAGTTAGAGACCAGCCTGGCCAACATAGTGAAACCCCATCTCTACTAAAAATACAAAAATGTGGTTGGTGCCTATAATCCCAACTACTCAGGAGGCTGAGGCAGGAGAATCGCTTGAACCCGGGAGGTTGCAGTGAGCCAAGATCACACCGCTGCACTCCAGCCTGCGTGAGTGAGACGCCATCTCAAAAAAAAAAAAAATAAAGAAAGGTAAGGGGGCCGAGGCTGGGGGAGGACTAGAAACCTAGCAGTATGCTAGGTGGTTCTGGAACATTTCTTTGTTGCAAAGAAATGTTCTATCATTTAGCCTTTCTCTCTTTCTCTGCTTCACTCTGAACCTTTCCTCTCCTCATAAAGGGTATCAGAAAATTCTCTTGAGTAGAATCCAGCCATCATTCTCTCTCATGCTCCCTCCCTAATCATGCCATTATCAATACCAGTCATCACTACCTGGGTTATAACTGGATTTTTTGCTGGAACATCCACATCTGTGCTCATCTCCTTCAATCTGTTCCCTGCACAGCAGCTGGTGAGGTTATCCCTCGCTTGTAACTCTTCATTGGCCTTCTCTCTCACCCAAAGTATATTCCAGAGTACCACTGAAGGCCCGGCTTGGATCTGGTACTTCTTCTCTATTAGTGGTTCCCTAACTTTGCAGCACGTTAGAGTCATCTGGGGGCTTTTTAAAAACCCTGATGCCCAGGTCACACCCTTATTAAATAAGGATGTCTAGGGAGGTGGTCCCCTGGGGACTCCAGTAGCGGAGTTTGGGAGCTACCTTCCTACCACTCGGCCTTTTGTTCCCTCTGTTCCCTCTGTCTACATTGGCCCCCTACTGGTCCTACCTTGGGGCCTTGTCCTCATTCCCCCTCTGCCTGGAAGGCTTTCCTTTGTAACTTTACAGTCTGGCCCCTCATGCCACTCCACTGCTGCTAGATAAAGTGTCAGAGCTTGACCAACCTGTCTCAAAAGTTCATTGCATCCTCAGCTTCCCACCTGCTTGATTTTTCTTCTTGCATCTGATAGATTTCTGTATATTGTTTGGCTCTTCCAACTGACAAGTTTGGGAGAGTTCTCATTTTCTTGCTGTAGTGCAGTGTATGCACGTAGTAGGCGCCCAGTTTGTACTTGCTGAACAACTGAACTAGGATTTGTACATGACTTTGGCTTCCTGTGGCCTCTTAATCCATTACTATCTTCTGGCACTTCTTCCCCTTTCATTTGATTTTTTTTTTTTTAACTAGGTCATCGATTCTGATTTAAAAACTAGAAAGAAAGGCACTCCATGAAAACTCCCTGAGACCCACTGTTTCCATATGCCCTTAGTTCACTTCTGTTTCTCGCCTCTTACAGAGTTTCTCCATGTGTGAATGAGCAAATGCAAGTACATCTTTCCCTCTGCCCTTTTTTCTTTTTGACAGAGACAGGGTCTTGCTATGTTGCCCAGGCTGGTCTCAAACTCCTGGACTCAAGTGATCCTTCCACCTCAGCCTCCCATAGTGTGGGAATTATAGGTTTGAGCCACTGTGCCTGGCCCATTTCACCTTTTCTACACGGAGGAGGACAGAAGTAGGCACTGTTCAGTTTCCATCATGGCCTCTTTTGATGTATCTATTAGGCTTCTGCCTTCCTGCCTGCCTGCCTCAGTCTGTGGTTTTTCAGCTCCAGAGAGAGGATTGATTGGCCTGGCAGACCTTTCTTAGGGATAGGTTCAGTCAGCTTTGGGTCAGCCGTGGTCGGTGTGGTATTAGCTGTGACTCCTCCAGCCTCATGGTAGCACTGTGGGCTGAGACTCCTCTAGGAGGCAGTGAAGGCAGGCAGCTCCAGTAAAACCTGCCTGCTCTAAGATAGAAGTAGAAACACAAGTGTTAAAGTTGCAGTAAAGATATCCAGGTTATTTGGGGACCAAAAGTCCTTTCCTCAGTCTAAAAGAGGGATTGTCAACCCAGATGGCTAGAGCGTAGGGATCTGAATGAGGGAGGGCTGTTGGTGGCAACTTAGAGAGTCTGTGTCCTGCCGTTGGGCTGCTGCTGCCCATCCTGGGTTGACAGTCATCAGGGCAAACTCAGGCTTGGTGCTTGTAGGTCTATTTTAGTAAGCAGTCGATCTAGATTTAAAGTGACACCACACACTTTTTTTTTTTTGGCAATAGAAAACATCCCATTTTCTGAGGAACCACACACATTTTAAATGCTGGCAACAAACAGATTGGCAGAAAGCACTGAGGTATATAAAGCACTTTTGCTACCTGGTAATTGTGGACTGTCTGTTTGCATCTTCTGGTCTAAAGTACCTTTTGGATGTTTTATTTCAGATCTCTTAAGGGCAGTCCCAAGATCCAGAGCAGAGATGTATGATGACGTTCACAGCGATGGCAGATACTCCCTCAGTGGATCTGTAGCTCACTCTCGAGACGCTGGAAGAGAAGGCCTGCGAAGTGACGTATTTCCAGGGCCTTCCTTTAGATCAAGCAACCCTTCCATCAGTGACGACAGCTACTTTCGCAAAGAGTGTGGCCGGGATCTGGAATTTTCTCACTCTGATTCCCGGGAGCAGGTCATTGGCCACCGGAAATTGGGACATTTCCGTTCTCAGGACTGGAAATTTACGCTCCGTGGTTCTTGGGAGCAAGACTTTGGCCAGCCAATTTCTCAAGAGTCCTCTTGGTCACAGGAGTATAATTTTGGTCCCTCTGCAGTTCTGGGGGACTTTGGATCTTCCAGGCTGATGGAGAAAGAGTGTTTGGAGAAGGAGAGTCGGGATTATGACGTGGACCATCCCGGGGAGGCTGACTCCGTGCTCAGGGGCAGCAGCCAAGTCCAGGCCAGAGGCCGAGCTCTAAACATAGTTGACCAGGAAGGTTCCCTCCTAGGAAAGGGGGAGACTCAGGGCCTGCTCACAGCTAAGGGGGGTGTTGGGAAACTTGTCACCTTGAGAAATGTGAGCACAAAAAAAATACCCACCATGAATCGTATTACTCCTAAAACTCAGGGCACTAACCAAATCCAGAAAACCACTCCAAGTCCTGATGTGACCCTGGTGACAAACCCAGGGACAGAAGATATCCAGTTCCCCATTCAGAAGATCCCTCTGGGGCTGGATCTGAAGAATCTTCGGCTCCCCAGAAGAAAGATGAGCTTCGACATCATAGATAAGTCTGATGTTTTTTCAAGATTTGGGATAGAAATAATCAAATGGGCAGGATTCCACACTATAAAAGATGATATTAAATTTTCCCAACTTTTCCAGACTCTCTTTGAACTTGAAACAGAAACCTGTGCTAAAATGCTCGCCTCATTCAAATGTTCCTTAAAACCAGAGCACAGAGATTTTTGCTTTTTTACTATCAAATTTTTAAAGCACTCTGCTTTGAAAACACCCAGAGTTGATAATGAGTTTTTAAACATGCTTTTAGACAAAGGTGCTGTGAAGACCAAAAATTGCTTTTTTGAAATTATAAAGCCCTTTGACAAGTACATAATGAGACTTCAAGACCGGCTTCTGAAGAGTGTCACACCTTTGCTTATGGCCTGCAATGCCTATGAGCTGAGTGTCAAGATGAAGACCCTCACTAACCCCCTGGACTTGGCTCTTGCCCTGGAAACCACCAATTCTCTCTGCCGGAAGTCTCTGGCCCTTCTGGGGCAGACATTTTCCTTGGCCTCTTCTTTCCGGCAAGAAAAAATCTTAGAAGCTGTCGGCCTGCAAGATATAGCTCCCTCTCCTGCTGCATTTCCAAACTTCGAAGACTCCACTTTGTTTGGGAGAGAGTACATAGACCACCTGAAGGCCTGGCTGGTCAGCAGCGGGTGTCCCCTCCAGGTTAAGAAAGCCGAACCAGAGCCGGCACGAGAGGAGGAGAAAATGATTCCTTCTATCAAACCCGAAATTCAGGCCAAGGCCCCAAGTAGTCTCAGTGATGGTAAGGAGAACAGCCAAAGTTTCTATTTGTTGCTTTTCATGTTTTTTTGGTAATGTCTTTCTTCTGTTTGAGATTTTTTTACATGGACGCTGTAGCCAATTGGAAACAAATCAGGATTTTAGTAGAAAATGCACATTGGCCAATATATGTCTGCCATTCATTCTGTGAATGTGTATTAGGAATCTGTTGTGTACTATAGAAGTCTTTTTTTTTTTTTTTTTTTTTAATTTTTTTTTTTTTTTGAGTTTCATGCTTGTTACCCAGGCTGGAGTGCAATGGCGTGATCTCGGCTCACCACAACCTCCGCCTCCTGGGTTCAGGCAATTCTCCTGCCTCAGCCTCCTGAGTAGCTGGGACTACAGGCACACGCCACCATACCCAGCTAATTTTTTGTATTTTTAGTAGAGACGGGGTTTCACCATGTTGACCAGGATGGTCTCGATCTCTTGACCTTGTGATCCACCCGCCTCGGCCTCCCAAAGTGCTGGGATTACAGGCTTGAGCCACCGCGCCCGGCCTAATTTTTTTTTTTTTTTAAGACAGGGTTTTACTATGTTGGTCAGGCTGGTCTTGAACTCCCGACCTCAGGTGATCTGCCCGCCTTGGCCTCCAAAGTGCTGGGATTACAGGCGTGAGCTGCCATGCCTGGCCTATAGAAGTCTTTAGGCTAGGCACGGTGGTTCACGCCTATAATCCCAGCACTTTGGGAGGCCAAGGCAGGCAGATCACTTTTGATCAGGAGTTCAAGACCAGCCTGGGCAACATGGTGAAACCCAGTCTCTACTAAAAATGCAAAAATTAGCCGGACGCAGTGGTGTGCACCTGTAATCCCAGCTGCTCGGGAGGCTGAGGCATGAACCTTGAACCCAGGAGGCTGAGGTTGCAGTAAGTCAAGATCGCGCCACTGCACTCCAGCCTGGGCTACAGAGTGAGACTCCATCTCAAAAAAAGTCTTTAAACAGCCAGGTGCGGTGACGCAGGCTTGTAATCCCAGCACTTTGGGAGACCAAGGCGGGCAGATCACTTGGGACCAGGAGTTCACGACCAGCCTGGCCAACATGGTAAAACCTCATCTCTACTAAAAATAGAAAAACTAGCTGGGCGTGGTGGCACATACCTGTAATTACAGCTACTCAGGAGGCTGAGGTAGGAGAATCACTTGAACTTGAGAGGTTGCAGTGAGCAGAGATGGCATCACTGCACTCTGGCCTGGGTGACCAGAGCGAAACTCTGTCTCAAAAAAACAAAAATCTTTAGACATGTTTAGGTCAAATACCTCTGGGAATTTGGTAGAAAGCTGTGGCCATTGCCAGAAAAAATGCTCATCTATTCATAGACCATTTTACCTGTACCTTCTGGGGGGTTTGTACCTTTCTTCAGCCAAGGTTAACCCTTGTTCCTTTTTTTGTTCCCCAACCTTTGAAAGAAAGAAGACTTGACTTTCTTTGTTTTTATTTTTTGAGACAGGGTCTTGCTCTGTCACCCAGTCTGGAGTGCAGTGGCATAATCATGGCTCACTGCAACCCCGACCTCTCAGGCTCAAGTGATCCTTCTGCCTCAGCCTCCTAATTAGCTGGGACTATTGGTGTGTACCACCATGCCTGGTTAATATTTTTTGGTATTTTCTGTAAAGAATGATGTTGCTGGTCTCAAACTCCTGAGCTCAAGTGATCTACCCACCTCAGCCTACCAAAGTGCTGGGATTATAGGTGTGAAACCCTTGTTCTATGTGTCCCCACAAGGTATTACTAGAAGGGAGAAAAAAACACTGGACACTGTCTCTGAGGAATCACCAGGCTCCTGAGGAAGAAAATCGCAAAGACCAGTCCCTGGTGAGCCAGGCGTGGTGTAGCACATGTCTGTATTCCCAGCTACTCGGGAGGCTGAGGAGGAAGGATTGCTTGAGGCCAGGAGTTCAAGGCTGCAGTGACCTGCGATTGCATCTGTGAATAGCCATCGCACTCCAGCCGGGGGATTATAGCATCACCCTGTCTCTCAATGAACCAAAACAAAAAAACAGTCACTCCTTTGCTAGAATTAAAGAGACATAGGAGAGGCCCCAGCCCGGCCTGGAAAGTTGGGGAGATTGTGCTTGAGCTGTATTGAGGGATGTACAGGGACCAGCTAGGTCATTCCACATAGCACCTTTTCCCCCTACTCACTTTTCTAGACTGGCTAAAGTTGATGAATCACTTAAGTACACCTGCTAGTTAGCAGTCATCATTGGCTTTCTGGGGAGAGGAAAAGCCCAAGGAGGAGAATTAGAAGCAATGAGCTGCTTGGTTTCCATCTTCCTTCCTCCTGAGCACCCAGAATGGACTCTCACAGCCCAAACATCCCAGAGGTCATGAGCATACATGGTAGCCATGCTGTATCAAGTCTTGTGATAGAGAAAAAGCATTTTTCCCACTGATGTGGTTTTCACCTTCCATTGCCTCCAGCCCAGTGGGGAAGTGTCATTTGTTCCTGACGTTCTTTGCTCCTTCACCACTCTCCTGAAGCCCCAATGGCACTAGACATTGGATAGGTCCCACCACATACAGGTGGCCACACCTACTCCCAGAGAGGGATCCTTCCAGAAGCAGGCTCAGGGCTGAAGGATGCTACTTCCCAACCCCTGACAAAGTGATGGGGTACTGTATGAAGGAGGAAAAGTCACCCATAACCTCAAGTGGCTATAACCCACCCACTTACCCTCCCTCGGCCTTTGACATTCCCCATGTTTTCCTGCTGCAGCAGCAGGCAAGCTTGACTGAAATTCTACCTCCTGCTCTTCTGCGTGATTGCCAGAAAGCCCTCGTCTATGTTTCCATAGCATTTGCTGCATTGTGATATGGACCTAATGTAAATTACCTCACCGTTCCCTTGATGCTGGACTCAGGCTGCCTTTTACTAGAGATTTCTGAAGCCAGACAGACCTGGGTTCACATGTAGTTGGCATCTGCCAGCCTCAGTTCCATGTCTGGATGGGGGATAGCTGGCGGCAGAGCCCACATCTCGTGGGACTGCCCAGCTGCTGCTTACGTTCCTGTTAAAAATGCTGAAATGGGCCAGGCATGGTGGATCACGCCTGTAATCCCAGCACTTTGGGTGGCTGAGGCAGACACAACACCTGAGGTCAGGAGTCTGAGACCAGCCTGGCCAACATGATGAAACGCTGTCTCTACTAAAAATAAAAAATTAGCCTGGCATGGTGGCACACTCCTGTAATCCCAGCTACTTAGGCTGGGGCAGGAGAGATGCTTGAACTCTGGAGGCGGGAGTTGCACTGAGCCAAGATTGTACCACTGCACTCCAGGCTGGGTGATGAGCAAAACTGTCTCAAAAAAAGAGAAAGAAATGCTGAAATGACCTCTGGTTGAATGCATTGGTTATTACTATTAGTTTTATTTCTTAAATTCTCCTTGAAAGGATACATTCTCAGGAGTAGGATTGCTGGGCCAAAGTTGAGACCTAACTGACCCTTGCTCATGATCATCCTAGCTAAAGATGATGCAGGGGTCCCCAGACTTCACTGCTGACTTTAAACCTCAACATCTTTTGTAAAATCATATAAAACTAGTAGTTCTGTAAAAAGGGAGCCATGAAAAAAAGCAGTTTCGTAGGGAACATACTTGGAATAACGTGGCAGTGGAAGGATTTACTCATCATGTGTGAGGAGCTCACACTAGTGTTTAAGCTCAAAGCTGGAACATGGACATAGGTGGGGACAGGACTGTGCCATCATTTGGCACAAATGGAACAAACTGGAAAACCTCACCAGGTCAGCAGTGATTTTAATTGAATGGCTGAACAAATAGACCATTTTGTGCTTTTAAAACCAGCCAGTTATCAGGAAACAACAATCTTACCATTTGAAGAAACATGTCTTCCTTGTTGTGGCAGCATTGTACATTGATTGATTGATTGATTGAGTCGGAGTTTCACTCTTGTTACCCAGGCTGGAGTGCAATGGCGCAATCTCCACTCACCGCAACCTTCGCCTCCTGGGTTCAGGCAATTCTACTGCCTCAGCCTCCCGAGTAGCTGGGACTACAGGCACACATCACCATGCCCAGCTAATTTTTTGTATTTTTAGTAGAGACGGGGTTTCACCGTGTTGACCAGGATGGTCTCAATCTCTTGACCTCGTGATCCACCCGCCTTGGCCTCCCGAAGTGCTGGGATTATAGGCATGAGCCACCGCGTCCGTTGTAGCATTGTAAATTTAAAGTCATATTCGGGCGAGGAAGCAGGCGTGTGAAAAAATAAAAAAATTTTAAAAAATGAAAGTCATATTAGAGGAAGTTCACACTTTAAAAAATGTTTTGGGTAGGGCATGGTGGCTCATGCCTGTAATTTCAGCACTTTGGGAGATAGAGGAAGGCAGATCACTTGAGCCCAAGAATTGAAGACCAGCCTGAGCAACATGGTGAAGGCTCCTCTCTACAAAAAATTTAAAAAATTAGCCAGGCGTGGTGGCACACGTCTGTAGTCCCAGCTGCTCAGGAGGCTGAGGCAGGAGAATCGCTTGAGTCCAGGAGTTCGAGGTTGCTGTGAGGTGTCATCAGACCAGCTGCACCACCAGCCTGGGTGACAGAATAAGACCCTGTCTCAAAAAAGAAAAAATTTGTTTCTTATACATTCAGCAGATATTTTCTTTGAACACGTAACTTGGGATCATTGACCTTCTTTGTTAATTAGAGAAAATTTTTTGTAAATTTATATATTTTTTTGATTACAAAACACAAGTATTTTTTTTTTTAAAGATAAAGCACACAAAGAAAAGACAAAGCACAAAGAAAATGAAATTCCTTATAATTCTACCACCTATAACCTCTATTAACATATCTCCTTGTAGTCTTTTTTTTTTTTTGAGACAGAGTATTACTTTATCATGTAGGCTGGAGTGCAGTGGCGTGATCTTGGCTCACTGTAACCTCTGCCTCCCAGGTTCAAGCAATTCTCCTGCCTCAGCCTCCTGAGTAGCTGGGGTTACAGGTGTGTACCACCATGCCTGGTGAATTTTTTTTTTAATTTTAGTAGAGACGAGGTTTCACCATATTGGCCAGGCTGGTCTCAAACTTCTGATCTTGTGATCTGCCTGCTTTGACCTCCCAAAGTGCTAAGATTACAGGCATGAGCCACCGCACCAACCTGTAGCCATTTTTTCTGTGTGTCCATATTTATGTATTTGTTTCTTCCCTCCTTCATATTGAAAACCATAACAGAGATATTTTTTGTGTATTTTATACTAGATAGATAAATTTTGTATCTTTATATTTTCCACTTTCATGTTACCAACAAATTGTGATATGTGAAAAATCATTAAATTGCTATATATCTTTCTTTTTCTAAAGTATACACATAAATTGCTCTGTGCAGTCATTGAAAGCTTATGACTATTTCTTTCCTAGTGGTTATGCTGTTACTTTTTTTTTTTTTTTTTTTTTAAGACAGTCTTGCTCGGTCACCAGGTGCCAGGCTAAAGTACAGTGGCGTGATCTTGGCCCGCTGCACCCTCTGCCTCCCGGGTTCAAGCCATTCTCCTGCCTCAGCCTCCCAAGTATCTGGGACTACAGGTGCATGCCACCATGCCCAGCTAATTTTTGTATTTTAGTAGAGACAAGTTTCACTATGTTGGCCAGGATGGTCTTGATCTCTTGACCTCGTGATCTGCCCACCTCGACATCCCAAAGTGCTGGGATTACAGGCGTGAGCCATTGCGCCTGGCTGCTGTCACATTTTTTTGGAGGAGATTTTGCATATTGGTTTCTAGAATAAGCTGTTGTTTGCCTCTTTTTAATGCTGGTGTCTTGTGAATGAGGATTTCAGTCATTGCTGTCTGCTTGGCTTCAGCGCTATGCCCCCCACTACTCAACTATCCTTGTCTTCCCAGAGCCCGCATTGAGCACGTTTCTCAGAAAAGCTGTTCTTTGTGTTCTAGCTGTCCCTCAGCGAGCAGATCACAAGGTAGTGGGGACCATCGACCAGCTTGTGAAACGTGTCATCGAAGGCAGCCTGTCTCCCAAAGAGAGAACTCTTCTCAAGGAGGACCCTGCTTACTGGTAGGTCTTTAAATGTCCACCCTGTGAATCCCTCTCATGGAGTATATGGCAAACTTTGGGTCCTTCTGATGGTGTCGAGAGCAGAGGGTGAGATACTTACTTGAGCAGTGGTGTTCTCCAGTGAAAAGAGCATGAGGGTGGCCCAGATTTATGTGGTCTCAGGAAGCCCCAGCTCTGCTGCAGACCAGTGGTAGGCTGGCTGGGTGGGTGGACTTCTCTCACCTGGGAACACAGCTCCAAGTCCCTGCTGTACTATTTTAAGGATGCAGTGAGATGTGTATGCAACATCATTGCAGCTGTTTGCAATTTCTTGCTAGTATTTGTTAAACTCTCTTTTCCTTTACTGCCTCTTTATGTGAATAGAACAACTTTTTTAAGTTATAGTTTGCATCCTAAGTACAGTACTTGCATATTAGAGAAAGTAAAGAACAGGCCAGAGAAAGAGTCTGTCACCCAGGCTAGAGTGCAGTGGCACAATCTTGGCTCACTGCAACCTCTGTCTCCTGGGTTCAAGTGATTCTCCTGCCTCAGCCTCCCAAGTAGCTGGGATTACATGCGCATACCACCACTCCCAGGTAATTTTTGTGTTTTTAGTAGAGATGGGGTTTCACCATGTTGGTCAGGCTGGTCTCAAACTCCTGACCTCAGGTGTTCCACATGCCTTGGCCTCCCAAAGTGCTGGGATTATAGGTGTGAGCCACCACACCCAGCGTAGAATGTTTTTAATTGTATACTGTTTTAACTGCTTTGGTGAGTAGCTTAATACAGCACATTTTCATGCTTGTTTAGGATTATCTCTAAATTGATGGCTGTAGATGAGAAATTTTTATAGTTTAATTATTTTTTCTTAATTATAAAAGTGCCTATATTTAGATCTCACTGCTAAAAAATAAAATAAAAATAAATTAAAAAAAAAAGTGGGCCAGGCACGGTGGCTCACGCCTGTAATCCTTAGCTCTTTGGGAGGCCGAGGTGGGTGGATCACCTGAGGTCAGGAGTTCAAGACCAACCTGACCATCACGGTGAAACCCCATCTTTATCAAAAAAAAAAAAAAAAAAAAAAAAAAAGTGGCGTGTGCCCTGCGTAAAAATAAAGAAAAGTAAAAAGGCAAAGATGCAGTCACTTAGAGCTCTACCACTCGTTAACCTTCACAGTGTGTACCTTATAATTGTGTCCTGTTATTTTCACTTAACGTGATTGTCGTTATCCATGGTTGCATAATATTCCATTGTATACAGGTACCATACCTTACTCAGCCATTGTTTATTGGTGAATTTATAGATTATATCTAGTTTTCCCCCCCTATAAATAACACGAGTCCAGGCACAATAGGTCATGCCTATAATCCTAGGGCTTTGGGATGCTGAAGTAGTAGAATCGCCCTAAGGCCAGGAGTTTGAGACCAGCCTGGGCAAGAAAGCAAGACCCATTCTTTACAAAAATCAATTAGCTGGGCAGGGTGTACAGCCTGTAGTCCTAACTACTTGGAAGCCTGAGATGGGAGGATCCCTTGAACCCAGGAGTTTGAGATGGCAGTGATCACATCCCCACACTCTAGCCTGGATGACAGAGTGAGACACCATTTCTTTCTTTTTTTTTTGAGATGGAGTCTCACTCTGTCACCCAGGCTGGAGTGCAATGGTGTGGTCTCGGTTCACTGCAACCTCTGCCTCTTGGTTCAAGCGATTCTCATGCCTCAGCCTCCCAAGTAGCTGGGACTACAGGCACATGCCACCACACCCAGCTAATTTTTGTATCTTTAGTTGAGACAGGGTTTCGCCATGTTGGCCAGGCTGGTCTCAAACTCCTGACCTCGCCACCTGCCTGGCCAACACCATTTCTTAAAAAAAAAAAAAAAAAAATGATCAGTGTTTTGCTTGTATTTCTGCCTACCTTTCTGGCAGTTTATTGTGATGTCTGGAATGAAATTGCTGGGTTAAAGCTCATGTTAGAGGCTTTTGATTTATGTCAGTTTCTCAGCTATAGCACTTTTTCTTTTTTTTTTTTTGAAATGGAGTCTTGCTCTGTTGCCCAGGCTGGAGTGCAGTGGTGCAGTCTTGGCTCACTGCAACCTCCACCTCCCAGGTTCAAGCAATTCTCATGCTTCAGCTTCCCAAGTAGCTGGGACTACAGATTTCTGCTGCCATGCACAGCTAATTTTTTTATTTTAGTAGAGATAGGGGTTTTACCATGTTGCCCACGGTGGTCTCGAGCTCCTGAACTTAGACAATCTGCCTGCCTCGGCCTCCCAAAGTACTGGGATTACAGGCATGAGCCACTGCGCCGGCCTCAGCTGCAGCGCTAACATTTGAGGCTGGATCAGTCTGTATTAGGGTTGGAGCTGTCCTGGACATGGCAGGTTGTTTAGCAGCATCCGTGGCCTCCATCTGTTTGATGTCAGTAGGACTTTCTGTCTCACTGGTAACAACCAAGAATACGTCCAGATATTGCCTGGTGTCCCGTGGTGGGCAGAGCTGCCCCTGATGGAGACCATTTATGTTTATCATCAGATTGCTCTCCATGGGTTGTCTGTACTGATTTACCCTCTCACTGCTACTCCATAGGTGTGCTGTGCTCTCCTTTGTTTTCTGTTCTTGTTAGACACAGGATCTCACTGTTGCCCAGGCTAGAGGGCAATGGCACTGTCGTAGCTCCCTGCAGCCTTGACCTCGAGTGTGCCCTTTTTGGTAGACAGATTGTACCCATACTGGACTTGCTATTTTGCTGCTGTAATTACTAAAGATGCTTGAAAGGCATGCATTTCCATGTAGCACTACCAGAGCTTTGTTCCTATCCACCATGATTTGCCAAGGTGAAGGTTGGAGCTTGTGGTTTTATTCATTTATTTATTTATTTGTTTGTTTGTTTTTTGAGATGGAGTTTCGCTCTTGAGTGCAGTGGCGAGATCTCGGCTCACCGCAACCTCCGCCTCCTGGGTTCAAGCAATTCTCCTGCCTCAGCCTCCCAAGTAGCTGGGACTATAGGCACGCACCACCATGCCCAGCTAATTTTTGAATTTTTAGTAGAAACGGGGTTTCAGCATGTTGACCAGGATGGTCTCGGTCTCCTGACCTTGTGATCCACCCGCCGCGGCCTCCCAAAGTGCTGGGATTACAGGCGTGAGCCACCGCGCCCAGCCCTTATTTGGTATTTTTAATGGAGACAGGGTTTCTCCATGTTGGTCAGGCTGGTCTCTGACTCCTGACCTAAGGTGATCGCAAGTGCCATTGCACTTCACCCTGATGACAGAGTGGGACTTCATCTCAAAACAAACAAAAGTTAAAAATTCCCAAATAACCTAATTGTCCCAGCATCATTTATTTATTACTTCTTTTTAAATTTTTTTTTTTTTTAAAGACAGGGTTTCATCATGTTGGTCAGGCTAGTCTTGAACTCCCGACCTCAGGTGATCTGCCCACCTTGTCCTCCAAAGTGCTTGGATTACAGGCGTGAGTCACCACGCCCAGCCGAGTACTTTTTTTTTTTTGAGATGAAGTCTCACTCTGTCGCCCAGGCTGGAGTGCAGTGGCACGATCTTGGCTCACTGCAACCTCCCCCTCCCGGGTTCAGGATATTCTCCTGCTTCAGACTCCTGAGTAGCTGGGATTACAGGCGTGTGCCACCATGCCCAGCTAACTTCTGTATTTTTAGCAAAGATGAGGTTTCACCATGTTGGTCAGGCTGCTCTTGAACTCCTGACCTCGTGATCCACCCGCCTCTGTCTCCCAAAGTGCTGGGATTACAGGTGGAAGCCACCGCGCCCGGCTATTGAGTGCTTTTTATTTAATAAACACTTATGCTTTCTGTGTAGTTGGTACTGTTCTAAGCACATTACTGATTTAAGCACTACCTGATTGAATCCTCATAAATAACGTTGGAAGTCAGGTCTATTGGTGTCCTTATTTTACAGACAAGAAACTTTGAGGCTCCAAGAGCTCTCTTGAGGCAATGTTGAGATTCAATTCCAGTGTCTGTGGTCTCAACCAGTGTGCATGCTGAAGGAAGGAAGCTAGATAGCCTCAGATTGACAGATGCAAGCAGATAGCAGACCCTCTTGATAAGAAGGCATCCAGAGTTAGAAGGCCTAGGGGCACTTTCCAGGTGGTTGATAAGGTGATTAGGCTGGAGGAATAGGTGGCCCTTAGAGGACTGGGAGCCAGTGCCTCTGCCCCATGACCCCTGCACATGGCCCAGTGGTCTCATGGTCACTGATAACCAGGCATAGCAGACAGAAGCCAGAGTCAGGGGTGCATGTGGATAGTGGGCAGGGCAGGGTACACGATCAGAAATAAGCATCAAACGGAGAACTGATATTTGAGGTAAATCGATATCATGAAAGAGAATCACCAAACTCAACAAATGGCTGACACCCTTGAAGATAGAGTTACTATAAGAAAGAGGGGAAGGGAAGGGAGGGTTATAGTCTATATTAAACAGAGAAGAAAGAAAGAAAAGAGGGAGGGAGGGGAGAAAGAGGAGGAGGTTTAGTCTATAAATATGTATGTGTAATGAATAGTCAATTAATAAGAGTATATTGTATCCATGAAACAGGCACTGGTTGCTATGAAAACGATCCTGTGAAAGATCTTGGAAATGAAAAGCAGATTGAAATAAAAATCTCAGTGGTTGGATAGAATAGATCCTGATGACAGACAGATTTAAGAGCTGGTCCCAGAGACTGTATCATCCAAAATCTCTTTCAGAAGAAATTACCTGGCCAGGTGTGGTGGCTCACACCTGTAATCCCAACACTTTGGGAGGCCAAGGCAGGTGGATCACCTGAGTTCAGGAGTTCAAGACCAGCCTGGCCAACATGGTGAAACCCCATCTCTACTAAAAATACAAAAAATTAGTCCGACGTGATGGAAGGTACCTGTAACCCTATCTACTTGGGAGACTGAGGCATGAGAATCTCTTGAACCCGGGAGGCGAAGGTTTTGGTGAGCCGAGATTGCACTACTACACTTCAGCCTGGGCATGACAGAATGAGACTCTGTCT